CCTACAGTTGAGTTCCTAAATAAGTTTTAAGATTGAGCGGTTACTGATGCATAGGGTTTCAGGAGAGAAGAGTCAAGTCCTTCAATGTCAAATACATAGTATCAAGTACTCCGAACTTAGTCAACACTCATACAATGTTCAGGAACGGTCGGGAATTTTTCTTAGATGGATTTGTGGTTGGTTGGGATTTGAAGGAGCATATAGGCATTATAAAGGTAAATTTACAATTTCATGGTAGGCTAAAACAAGGGGATAATTCTTATACAGATGAAATTTAAAGATATCACATTAAGCCTAATAACATCAGGCCCTTTATGAGTTAATGGGTTTCAATTGAGATTTATCGTGGTGGCAAAGCCGCCATTAGACTCTAGTTAACCTTATATCATAAATGAAAATAAACCTCAAGGTGAAATCATCTCTATGCCCATGGAGATGGTTGTTTATTGGATTTTATTTTCCAAGATTTATCAAAAAAACACAATTTAATAAATCCTGAGCAGCTAAACTGTGCTGCAATTTTCTCACCTATTTTCAATCCAAAACATGTTTCTTGTTCATTTTTCCTTCTCTTTTTTATACTTAGCAGCATGTCTTGCAGGTTGATTTTAGTAGATTTTTCAAGAGTAGAGTTAATGATGGAACACCAGATACATTAATTTGATCCTTGAAACACCTAAGAAATGGATTAAATAACTTAGCATCCAACATAATTTGAGTGCAATCACAAAATTTGTTATCATAATTCCTTTGAACAGATAAAACAGAAGCTTGAGATTGAATTGGCTGAATCAAGATAGCTTTCCTGTGAATCATATAGGAGGTTGTCATTTCTGAACCAATCCCCTTAAATTGATAGAGATCCTGACTCTCTATTACTTGAGCTTGGCATTGTCTGTGACTAACTCCTTCAGAGAGTCAGTGCAGACTGACATCCCATTAGCCCTTCTGAACAAGAGGGACTTGATCAAGCTAGCTTTCTCTTACCTTCAAAACCTTACCTAAAATCAAATTGGGGACAGAATGTAGCTTCTATATGCATGTAGGGGACAGTCTCACTTCTTCACAGGGTTTATGATCAAAAGCATTTGA